ACTTACTTACTTACTTACTTACTTACTTACTTACTTACTTACTTACTTACTTACTTACTTACTTACTTACTTACTTACTTACTTACTTACGTACGTACGTACGTACGTACGTACTTACTTACTTACTTACTTACTTATTTTAAAGTTTATTCATTTAAAAACAACACAAATTCAACATACAACAAAAACACAAATCACAAATTAAATTAAATGAAAGGTAGCAGAAGAAAGAATCTTATCATCTCTGCCCCTTTTTTCACAAACAAACAAATTCAAAGAAAATATTCTTCAGTTTACAATAAACATAAATAATAATTTCCTATTAAAAAGAAAAAACAAATAAATTTTACTTACAATAAATACAATATCAAAATAAAATGCAAGGCAACAGAAAGAAGAAAAAAATCCTACAATATCTGCCCCTTTTTTTAGAAAGAAAAAAAAAGAAAATAAACTTTGTTGACTTTCATTGTTCATTGGTATGAAAAATGGTCTTTGTGATTTCTTTTTCCTCACCAAAAACAAAGCATCAAAAAAAAAAAAAATCATCAAAAAAAAAAAATGTAAAAAGCAGGGCTTCTCAATGGCGGACTATGGGCCACCTCAGGCCCACTAGGGACCTCAATCTTTAAAGTTCATTTAAAAAAAAAAAGTGTGTGTGTGTATGTATATATATATATATGTATACATACAGTATATATAAATAGATAGATAAATGTGTGTGAATCCTGTTAAATGACAGGGCTATACAACAATGTATGCCTGCCAGTGACTTCATTTAATAAAAAACAGATAATTAAGTTCAATTAAATCATAAAAAAGATTGAAGTTATATTTTAAATCCGATAAAAATTTAAATAGACTGTATTTATTTAAATGCTGGTTGTTCGGCCCCTGAGCTGCTGGCTTTCAGTAACTGTGGCCCCCTAAACAGATTAGTTGACTAACCCTGGTATAAAGAGTTTTGGTGCAGTCTAAGAACAGACAGGCTGCCTCCATGTTTGAAGCTCACAGCATTTGATTTGTAGAATCAGTGAAAAACTGGATTCCCTCCTTTCATTCCTCAGATCAGGCAGTGGAGATGGGAGGCATCGACAGCCGACGGGCGTCTGAGACCGGAGGTCAGCTGACCCTGGAAACCACGGCAGACGTGTCGACACACAGGAGGAAGAAGAAGAAGAAAGCTGCGTCGACAGGTGCAGTCAGACCTCTGCTCGTCTGGATTTGAAATGACAGTATCCAGAGAGGCTCGCTGTGATCGTTAACATTGACCTTAAGTTTGGATTTCAGACGTAGAGGATGACCAAGCTGACCTCGTCAACGGAGACACGGGAGATCAAACCACCGACGGAGAAGAGGTGGTCAAAAAACCCAAGAAGAAAAAGTGAGAGGAGCCAAAACTCCTTCTTATCAGCCAGCTGTTACAAAGTATTCACACACTCCTCTCTCTTTCAGGAAGTCAAAGGTGGCTGAGTCGCAGCTTCCTGAAGAGTTTGGAGTAGAAGATGACGACATCATCACTGACGCCTCTTCTCCGATCCCCCAGCACTCCTTGTTCTCAGCTCCTCAGGGTCAGAGCCAGCCGGTCGGGAAGGTGTTTGTGGAGAGGAGCAGTGAGTGTCGGAGGAAACGGACAGAGCTCTGAACTCTTATATGAACCTTAATATGGCTGTGTTCACCTGCAGAACGATTCCAGGCTGCAGAGCGCTCTGACAGGAGGAAAACCAGCGACCAGGTGGACAACGTGGCAGATCTCCAGCACATGCAGACCCTGTGGACCACCAGAGACGTTTCCATCAGAGTGCACGAAGGCTTCAGGTGAAGGGAAACCCTCCAACAACAAGGAACAAGACATGTGGCTTGAAGAAAAGGCTAAAAACAGCTAGCTGAAGAAGCAGAACACTAGCTAAAATCTAAATGTAACAAAAGGCTTGTTTGAGTAGCAAAAACTAGCTAGATGCTAAATGTAGCACAAAGTCTGCAGGAGTACTCCTGCAGACTTTGTGTGTATTTGTGTGTATTATGCAAAACATTTTACTCCAAAAACCATCCATAAAGCTGAGCAGTTGTACTCTACACAGGAGTAAAGTTTTCTCTATTTTTTGCTGAAGTACAATAAATGTTAATATTTGTTTTATATTTATATTATTCATTAATACTTGTTTTATTATCTTATATAACTGAAATATTGTGTTGTGGATAAATTGTTTAAAAAAATCCTGAAGTCTGTATGAAATTAGGGGTAAAATTTCACATGATTAGATTTTTCATGCTTTTTAAGCTCAAAAAAAGGGTTTGCATAGTTGAGATTGTGTGACAGACACATAAATACGGTGGTTTGATTAAACAGATGAATGAAAAAAGTAGAGTTGTTTATTGTTCTGCTTGTGTTTCAGGATGTTCGGTCTGTACTGTCATGGCTTCCTGGCCGGTTACGCTGTGTGGAATGTGGTGGTGGTGTACATGCTCGCTGGGCAGCACCTCACTGCTCTGTCCAACCTGTTGCAGCAGTACCACAACCTGGCGTACCCGTCCCAGTCTCTGCTCTACATGCTGCTGGCCATCAGCACTGTGGCCACCTTTGACAGGTGAGTCTATCCTCAGCTAACGCGTTAGCATTTACAGCGTGACCTGGAAGGATTTGTCGCAAGAACAGCGGAAAAATAACGACACAGAAATCATAACGGGAATGGAACGATAACAGATGAGCTGTAAGGCTCAGGAATGAGTACGTCTATTGCAAGCAAACTAAAGGATAAATATAAATGTAAATGTTCTGACCTGCAAAACAGTCCTGAAATTTAGTCATTAATTACGGAGCCCCTAAAAGGACATTGGATGATTTTTCTCTTTTACCCATGTTGTGTTTATCAAGTCTTAGGACTCCCAGGGGCAGGAACCACCTGACTACTATCAACTCCTCTGACTTATAGAAATTTCAAAATAAAAGTCTCATTCAATCATGGAGTTCTATAGAACAGCTGGAGTGCGTTAAAACCAGGTGACCATGTGATCGGCTGTAGAAGCTAAAGGCTAACGCAAAACGGTCAAGACTCTGGATTTCCCATTACTGTACATGTTGACAACAGAGCAGAAAAAAAGGACTGAACAAGTAGAAATCATAAAAACTATTAATAATATTAACCCAATTATTATTAATATTTTACAGTTTATATAATCTATCTAATGTTTTAAATAATGTCAGAAAAGCTGTTTGTGTTATGGATTTATTAACAGAAGATAAACAGGAAAACGTCTCATTTCGCAACACAAGTGAGCAGATTTGATCTTATTTAGCCATGTGTAGAT